GATTAATAAAGAATAGTTTTTTGAATGGTGAATATGTAAGGAGAGATAGAGAGACCTTTTCTCATGTTTGTCTTTACCTTTGTGCATTCTCTCTAAAAGGAGAGGTGAGCAAGTAAGGAAGTGGGGAATGAAAACGGTTTTCATGGAAACTACGACATTTTCTTTAGCTACGCCCACTTTTAGAGAGAAGCTTGACCCATTCTCCAGATCGGGTTGCTACAACATAATGTGTTCATGTGGTCGCTTTTATGTTGGAGAGACTTGTCGTCCCATTTGACAAAGCGTGGCTGAGCACAAAAGCACCTGCAAATGCTGTTGGGTTCACAAATCGGAGCTTGCTGAGCACAGGCCAGAGACGGGACACGAGATTGGATGGTCTTAAACTTGTCGTTTTGCTGATTATGGCATGTCTGCGGCTAAACGTAAAATTAGAGCATCCATCGAAATAAACTGAACAGGAAATACGGGTAAGAAGATAAGTAACAATTACTTGTACTTAATTAATAGACTGAATGATAGAGAGGGGGTTGAGTTGCCTGCAAAAAGGAGGCGACGCAACTAGTCTTTTCTTGTCTTGCTTCTAATCAGAGTCACTTTTCTCTACTTTTAGCTCACATTTTTTCTCTCGCATTGAGACCAAAAACAAAAAAAGGTTCATTAACAAAACCAGATGAGTGTCCGTCCTTGCGCAATCGGAGTGATGGTTATAACTTAAATGTATAAAAAGGGAGATAGGGGTCATCAAACCTTGAGGGCCAAAAACAGACGTTTGTTTTTGCTGTCCTAATTACTTTTAGCCATCACTGCGGGTTTCGCGCATAATCGAACACAAACAGGCACATACTCATACAGAGACAGACACACTCACAGTCATCGAAGTTGACATATGACCGTAACTAACCAAATCACTTTATATTTAATCAGAGGCCAGATGTAGAGTTTTATGCTGCTTTTTAGGGATTTGCCGGTGAGTTTTCTTGACTCGTTAGCTTAAATTTTGTTGTAACGATGATACCTTGCTCTGATGATGTTCGTCACATGACGGACGAAAGCTTAGCTTCTTTTCACCGAAATCGAGGGAGATTAGCTCGGAAACAGCGTCAGCATGAATCTTCAAGTAAAGCCAATTGATAGCTGGTCAAGAGGAATCTGCCGTCGTCTTCTGTTGGAACCGACCTCGAATCTCTTCACCAAACACTTTCACTCGAAATGGAAGTAAGCTCAACAATTATAAAACAAGAGATTCCTCGAAACCCAACCTTTCTTCCCCTACATCTTTCTTTTGTTTCGCAATGGTCCTTTAATCAAATAATTTTGTCATTCATTTTCACACTAAAGTAAAATTATAACACCCAAGTCCAGACTAAGGCGAATTCTTTTCCAAATTGTTAGCTCTTTCTACCCTTCTGCTTTCCTCATGCGTCCACTTCGATCTATATTCTGATTACTTGAGGTCAAGTCGAATGAAGTGTGTATTTCCAATAAAATTAAATCCCAAACATAATCTTTTTATCTTCAATGAATTTGACATCTTGGATTCATCCCTCTTTGGTCATCAGACTCTTGATTATCAAGCACTGCCGCCACCTAAACGGCAGTTCAGACTGGATATGAAACAACTTATGTCGATAACAATGAAATTCTCCAGAAAATCCCATCTTCATTGCATCATACATGGGTTAAATGACAGTGCTTGAGATGTCAATTGGTTAATGGCTTTCCTCCCTTCTTGATACACGGTCCCATTAAAGTTGAACCGTAAACATTGCTGCAATGACTTTTGATTTATCAAAGATTTCCTAAGAAGAATGCCTTGTCATTCCTGTATATTTTAATTTAAATTGTCCCACTCACTCATACAAGATGGACTACTGCGTCGGCCGCGCTTTATGCTCATCATCAGCTCTAGCGTAATTCGATACACGTTACTCCAAAGAGTACAAGACCCTAGTCCCATTAAAAGAAACAGGGAGAGTATAAACTTGCCAATAGAACGGGTGCCCCAACTCCCAGCTCCATCACATATTTTGGTTATGCGACGTGTTTTCACTACAACTTATCGTGAATTTTTTAAAATATATTATTACAAATGAGCAAGCTAATGAACGATGCAATTTTCCCACACGATCATAGACATACAATATACTTACATACGAAAAATCTTTGGAGCAAAATTAATTTTAATTCCACTACTTTGAAGCTCAATTGGTCGTAAATGCTCATTTTACTTGAAGGTTTAGTTTTTAGGACCTTTAACATGGACATGATATTACTGTAACATCGCTTTTTGATTTCCATAATTTTATTTAAATAGAATAATTAATTCTATCCGTAATTGGATAAAGAAGAAATATTCTTTTCAACCCAAGTTCATGTTACTCGATCTCGTCTTTTCATACCATTTATATTCTCTATGTTGATGGTTACCTATTCCCAATGTAAGATAATGGAGTGGCACCCACATAGTTCGGATCTCGCCTAGGTTTCGAGATTTTAACATTCAGTCTAACCAGAAATTGTATATATCAGCGTTTCTCAGATACCTTATAGCTGCGAAACAAACTATCACAATCAATATGCTCTCTCTTTCTATTCAGGTAACATCAGATTCTGGCTACCTATTCATCACGACGTATGGTCGGTTTGCCAACGGAGTCGCTAGCACGTATTATATTTGTCTCGTGTTCACCGGTCTCACTGTCTTCGACCGTGTCGATCCTGCCTCTCCGTCCCGCAAGTGCTTTTTGCAGTGTGCAAAATTTCAGGTGAGAATGTGTGACCGAGGTGTATTGTTTTTAAGAGTTCACTTTTCTGAAACAGCCCTAGTTCACTTAATCTGTAGCCTGTCTAGCGTTACTGCGACAGCATCAGCAAATGCATCTAGGTCGCTGTGCATTACGAGGTCACAAATTTATACTGGTTGAGCTTCATCCAGAACTGTGATACATATCTGCATATGGCCAAACGTATTTTTCAGCTTACGAACAATTACGCTGCTGATGATCAATTTAACACAAACCATCCATACATCTTTCATTGATATTGGTCAAAAAGGTATTAAAAACGATTTGTTCTACATAACAGTCTATCTCTTTCCTCATGAGACAGGCGTGCCGTTGTTTTAGACTTTTACCTTATAAGCTTATTTTGTGATTGCTTTACATTTTCGGCTTAG